TCTTCAGATCTTTCAGAAATGATATAATTTTTTTTCCAACGCCTCTTCTTTGGAGAAATATTTTGATGATTTCTGTAATTAGTTACTCAAAAAACACGATTTTCTCTAGAAAAAAATAGATTTTGACGTTTTTATGGAAAATAAGTAATTTAATTGAATGTAGAGGCGTTTTAACAAGTTTTATAGAGTGTTATAGAAAAATCAAAGTTCATACAGCAAAAAATGAAAAATCGACTAACTGATAGGCAAGAAAAAACCTTTATTTAAAAAAACTTTCATGTGACAAAGTTCACATTAAAAAATGTTTAATGAACTGTTATTTAATCTTGTTCTTTCCATATTCTTTTGTCTTTTGGATTATAATAACCATATTCTTCATCACTTTTATCATCATTCTTTTCAAGATCTTCGTTTGTTGTTGTATCAGGATTAAGAAGTGTTTCCTCATTGTCCATATGATTTGTTTCATCATCACTATCATCTGATGATTCATCACTACTTGATGTTGTATCATTATCATCAGTAATATATTCATCACTATCAGTAATTATTTCATTATCTTGAGTTGTTGGTTGATCAATAGGATTTGTTTCATGATAATCATCATCTGTTTGCTCATCATTATCTATTGTTTTGTCATCATCACCGAGTGCATTGTTGCTATTATTTGTGTGACCATCATTAAGATTTTTCTGTACAACACGGCCAGCTTCTTTTCTTCTTTTTCTATTATCTGTTTTTGATTCTGAGTGGAGACGACTGTTGTCAAAGTGAATCATTGCTTCATCGGTATAATGACCACGATAACCACACATGTTGTTGAAAAGGGTGTGGGTGTGGATGTGGGTGCGAGTCTGGGTATAGCTTTGTTTCTTTAAAGAACCATTACTCACACCCACATCCACACTCACACCCCATATCCACACCCACACCCTTTTGACCCCCTTACACTTGTTTCAGCTCGAAATTTTCATAGATAAAACCAAATGATCTCATATTTTGGATTTAACTGTAGGTTACGTAGGCCTATCATTTAAGAAAATAAAATCGAAAAAATAGTTTTCCACGGCGACGTCTATGGGGAGTAGAGTAGTCTTCTCACGGATTCTCCCTAAGTATTAAAGTTGGTTTATTACGTTTAATTTCGATAACTTCGAGCATCATTTTGTGTAATACTCGATGAATAAAGAAAAAAATTGAACGTTCATTGTTCCTTCGCATATAAAGACTTGTTGAAAAATACAGATTCCTAGTATAGAGATAGTAATTAGTTTCTTTTTAAGGATATCGATCAAGTCAATCAAAGAAATCTAGCTTATCACTCGGATTATACTATTTTCGAAAGCAACCTAGTTTTTCGACAAAACGAGAATTCACCTTCGAACTTTCTCATTCCGTTCTCCAGTCAAAACTCTGCTGTTCAACTAGTAACAATAGGCTGTCAGAGTTGTTGACAAACTCCTGAACGAATTTCATTTCGAACATTCTAGTATTTTGTTATATTTCATTGACTTTTTTTAGTGAAAATTCGATTTCGAACATCCTGTCTTTTTTTTCTTATATCCAGAGATCGTAACGGATTAGATCAACCCGAGTTTGTAATGAAAAAGTGAGACAACTAGAGTAAATAGATGCAATGGTGTTGTGTTACTGCATTCGAGCAATGATTGAGTTCTACTGAATCTTCAACAGTTTCAATAATTTAAAGATCATGTCGATAACTATCTTGTGCTACTTATCTCGTAGAAAAAATAAAGCCTTCTGTTTACTGCGAAAGACGCTCTCTTTAAATTCATTGTCATCATGTTTGAGTTTTCAAAAAGGATTTTAGAACTTTTCATAATCTTTATGTACTCGTTCAGGTAGAGTTTTCATTATTGATTTTGCGATTAGTTCAGGATGTTTAGAAAGACCATATACTCTTATGACGAATTTATCAGGGGCTACATTTCATGAGCCCGTTAAAGATTTTTCAATAGTATAATTCCTCTTATTTATATTTCAAAAACAGGATTAGCAGATTGTAAACGCTTGCATATATCCTTCATAAATCGTTTATCGAGGAGTCTACAAAAATTTAAAAAAAACAGTAAAATATGTAGTTTGCTATGCATTACACTTTTGTAAATATTTACGACGTTCATTATTCTACATGTTCTTTTTTGCATGTTAGTGTGGGTATGAGTCTAGGTGACGAGCACATTTCCACTTACACTTACACTCATGCTTGCACTTATATCTACATCTATATCCACATACCTACATTCATATTTAAGCTAACAATCACCATTCATTCTTACTAATCATTAGAGTATTGAAATAAAAGTTAATGAATAATCAAGACGACTTTTCTTCAGGTTTTTTGCTTAAAAAAAGACAAATGGAGCAATTGCTTGGTAACGTTGTCGGGAGAGAAGGTTACATATAATTAAACGATAGTGATGCTTTATAAACGGTATATGTTTACATAAAATCGGCAAAGTAAAAGAAAAAATTTGCGATAATGTCTGTTCTGATTGTGTACATATTCTCTCTTTATTTTTTTCTTTTCTATCCATATTGTCCATTTGGTGCAAGATACGTGTCAATAATCTCTGATGAGAGTTAGATTTTTGCGTTGCTTCTGTATTTATTAAAATCTTTCTTTCGTTCAATTTCATTGAACACAGGCAATAATCCTGTTTTAGGAATAATTTTTTAGCAGAAGTTAGAATTTCAAAAACAAAAGAAATCCATAGAAGATTTTATCACTTTTTCTGCCGTCTCTTTGATCGATAAAAATCTTTCTAAGTTAATTGAAAGAATTTTTATTTTGATAGTGACGCGCCGTAATCAGTAACATCAATTGAAAACAATGGCATACAAAGGCAATCCGGCTAGTCCAACGAATGATGGTGAGTGAAATGGCATTTCAAAGGTCATTGATCTGAATATCAGGATAAATATTCTTCTTTTATCTTCAATGAGAGGATTGTTCAAATAAATCTTCAAAGGACACAATTTGACGTTATATTATGCAGTCAGTTAGATTTCTTTTGTAGTTAAGTTTTTAAATAAATATAGTTATTGGTTTGATTGTTCTCTATTTGAAAAAGTTTTCCTAGACTAAAATCCATTTTGAAACACAATAGCAAACGACTCTTCTGTAGTTCATTGTGGGGTTTTCTTTGTAAGAGAACGAGCAGGATCATGTTTAAAGACTATATTTATGAGTAGATGGTGTAAATGATTAGATAGAAAGAAAAAAATAATAATATACTCTCTAAATCATAATAACCAACAATCAAATCTTCTCATTTAACTGCTTCTTCGATTTTTAGCAACAAAAGCGATTCAAATAAAGCAAAAACGATCTTCTTGTATTTCTCATCTTCCTTTTCGTCGCGATTATTATGTTTGTACCGGTTGTGGTGCTTGTTCTACTGGTGGAGTTTATTCATCAGTTTGTGATGATTGTAATGGTGTGACATCCGATCCTCCTCGCAACACTCGCCATCATTATCTTTGTACAGATTGTGCTCAACATCGATCGACTTGTACTTGCAACAAGTCTGTTCCAGTAATAGTTCGTCAACCATCAAATTTCATCTTTCGTAACCCTCCTGAGTATTGCTGGTGTAGTTGTTGCACTTGTTGTACATATTCTTGTTCATGTTCATGTTGTAGTTTCTTTTGCGAATGTTTATCGGCTACTTGTACACATTACAAACCTTGCTGTTATTGTACACGTTTATGTTGCTCGAATGGTACATGTTGCAAAACTCGACTTTGCTTCTGGTCATGGTGTCCGTGTATGTGTTCACCACCTTAATCGTCATGTAACAAATAATCATCGATCAATATATAGTATCATCTTAAACTTACTTAAAAGAAAACCAAATAGTTAAAAAAAATCTTCTTGCAGGAGCTATCAATTGCTTATCGTGTTGACTCTATTTACATTTTTGTTCTTAGTTGAACTTGCTGTGAATGTGAGCAATGATAGAATGCTGAACAGAACACACAAAAGACTTATTTTGGGTTCTATCACTTCTTTTTCTTATGATCACTTAGTTGTTATATTATGAGAATAGAAATCTCAAGGATAATGTGTTTGGAATGCACAAACAATTGTTTGAAGATTGAAAACACTATTGATTGACAAAAGCAAAACAAAATAGAGATTTTTCGATTGATTTATACGTATTTATTCACAGAACAGAACAAAAGTTGACTATCAAAACATTATAGTAATTGTATTGGATGCTAACAATCGCATGGATTATTTGTTTGTCTCAAGTAATATGTTTACTTTTTTACCTTACAACCTTGAATAGTTCCAGAAAATAATAAATGAAAAATTTTATTTACGCATACTATTTTTCTATGGAATGATTCAGTGATAGAATAACCCAACGTCGATTATCTAACTACGTTCATTTTTTATCATGTAGAATGAGTGTCGTATTGTTCCATATCAATGCTTAGAGAAACTTCTACGAATAAGTCGTCTGATTTTTGTTAAGATATAAACTTGTGTCTATATATATTTTTCGAACAAATATTCTCAATGTAGTCGTTGACTCGCAACAACGATTCATTTCCTTTATTAATTTGTTATATACGTTCGTTATGAAAATTGTTTTTGTGTAATTAAGATAGGTCTGACGAGATTTACTAGAGTAGAAATGAGATCTATTGTTTGCTTCATGTTATGTCTGAGAGCAGGCTTGGAGCAATGTTTTTGAATAACAACTTCTCAGAAAAACTTTTCCTGATTATTTGTTTTTCATGTTAAGCGGCCCGGTTTTTATACCGATTTTATTAAAATACTGAAATATACTCATTAAATAGGTCGTTCTGATCATCGTTAAATTGCTTAGAGTTCCATATGTAGAGTAAAGCAAATAGATATTGACTAATTTTGAATCAATGCGTCGCCACTATGCTTAACGACAGTGTTAATATTTAACAACACAAATATTTATGCAATCAGAGAAAAGAAAAGTTAAGTGTCATTTTTCTTTTCGTGATTTCGAATTAAATCAGAAGATTAATCATCTGCGTTTCTATTACTTCATTTTTCATTCCCTCGACTGAAGAGAAAGTCATATGAAGTAAAATGCCTATGTATGTATGTAAGTATATTTGTAGGCAGGGTCAAAAAAAACATGAGAATATATCCTATTTCGCGATGTTGCATATTGGGCAAACGATTTCGTCCCCGAAATCAGTTCCATGCGATCCTGAAATTAATGGAATAGTATTCGATTGTCGAATTAGATGTGATTTCGCAATAGTATCTGATTCCAGAATTGCATCTCACCCTCACCCACAGTATGCCTTGTGTAACGATAGATAAATATCTACGTAAAAGAAGTGATTGATTCCAGAATGGAATTCCGGGAATTAAATTGAAGCGGAATCAGACGGAATCGAACGGAACTACCACTAATTTCTAGCAATTCCGTCGAATTGCTTCCAATTCCGAAATTAGGATACACTTTGAGTATGAGGCGGAATTACTGGAACTTGCTAGCAATTCCCTCGAATCTCGTTGATGAGGCGCTCACTTCGCTTAGATATTTGTGCATGGCTACAAAAGGTATAATGTGAATGAGGCTAAGATACAATATCGGAATCACATACAATTTCGGAATCAGAGCCAAATCCAGAATCACATCTAACTCGACAATCGAATTTAATTCCGGAATTTGAAGGAGCTCGATCGTTTTTGAAGAAGGCGAGTTAGTTGAAGGTTTGGGAATTCTGATATTGGATGGAACTGAATCCGGAGGCGGAATCATTTTCGCAATATGCAACATGACAGAATAGC